TCCCATCCCATCCCGTCCCATCCCATCCCGTCCCGTCCCACCCCATCCCATTCCCTTCCATCCTGTCGTGTCCTGTCCAGTCTTGTCATGTCCCATCCCGTCCCACCCTATTCATCCCACCACATCCTGTCCCATCGCATCCCATCACATCCCATCCCATCTTGTCCCATCCATGCCCTGTCCCATCCTATCCCATCTGTCTCATCCAGCTCCACCCTGTCCCACCCCATCCCATCCCATCCCGTCCCATCCCATCCCACCGTGTCCCATCCTATCCACCCTGTCCTGTCCTATCCTGTCCCATCCCGTGTCATCCCATGTCATCCCATCCACCCTGTCCTATCCCATCCTGTCCCAACCCATCCCATCCATCCTGTCCCATCATCCCTGTTCCATCCCATCCCGTCCCATCCTGTCCCAACCTGTCCCATCCCATCACCCCTGTCCCATCCCAGCCAAGCCCAGCCCATCCCATCCCATCCTGTCCCATCCCCATCCGATCCCACCCTGTCCCATCCCATCCCCATCCCACCCCATCCCTAGCCCCATCCCATCCCATCCCGTCCCGTCCCATGTGCCCTGTCCTGTCCCACCCTGTCCCCTCCCATGCTGTCCCCTCCTGCTGCGGTGCAGCTGCGTGCCCACACGCAGCCCCGGCAGGGTCCCGTGCGTGGCAGCAGCCCCCTGGCACACGGCCTCGCTCCCGGTCCTGACCTCGGGGACCCCTGGCACAGGGTGACAATGGAGGGAAGTCGGTGACATGGAACACAGGGAAGGGCAGGAAACCCTCTGGATTGCGGGAAAAGGGAGGGGACGAGGGGGACAGGACAAGGCTGCATCCCGTCACCGCTGCGATGCCGGAATGGCGGGGCATGGGCTGCCCATCAGCACCCATGCTTGGGGCTTGGGGGGGTACAATGCCCATCCCCACCCGCACAGGGCGTGACAGCAGGCGGGGACAGAAATTAGGGACCCCCTGTCCGGGCCCCTCCTGGGCTGTCCCAGGGAGCCACAGCCCCCCACTGGGGGTGACACCCATCAGGAAGGGACACCGGGAGCAGCTTTGGGACGGGGACGGGGGGGTGTCACTGCCCCGGGGCTTGTATGTCCCAGTGCAAATGGGGAGACTGGGATCCAGGGGCAGCTACTGGGCAGAGGGAGCGCCTGAGCCCGGCTGCTGGAGGGACCCACGCTGTACGTATGGAGAGAGAGATGTATATTTATCATGTATATTTACTTCCCGCTGGTGGAACTGCCTCGTGATCAGCCAGAGAGGGACCAGGATGCGGCCACTGGTGCTGCGTTCGTGTGAGTGCTGTGTGTCCGTGACCTGTGCTGCTGGCCACGTGTGTATGAGGGTGTATATATACACACACACACATATACAGCATAAAAGTACGTATGTGTATATTTATGGTGCCTCCGTGTGCTCATACCAGGAGCCGTGCTCAGCCTCGCTGCTGGCTGCAGCCAGGACATGGAGCTGCAGCAGTCGCCCTGTCCTTGGGCTGCCGGATCCAGCGCGATGCTTTTTCCCCCGCCATGAGCTCGCCCCTCTCCCTCCTCCTCTCCCTCCCCACCCCTCCCTGCGTGGGGCAGCCCCATCCCACCCGGCTGCTCCAGAGGCGGGGGGGGGGGGATTCAACCAGGCTCACTCTCTCTGGCTCTGCAGGCAGCCGGCACGGTTTGGGCTGGCTGACGAGCCCCAGCACCCTCCGGTCTCAGCCCGGCAGCGAAGCCGGGGACCCGTGGGCCGTAAGTGCCACGTCCCTGCGCTGGCTCTGACCCACGGACAGACCCCACGGGCTGCCCTGTCCATGTCCCACGTTTGGTCCCAAGCCAGAACAACCCCTTGGGCCTTGTCGGGACTCTGGTGGCTGCCCCCCAGGGAGGCCAGGCTGCACCGTGGGCAGGGCTGGGAGAGGGGACCGTCCCCCTGCACCAGGCTCTGCCTTCACCCAGGGCAGCTGGGCTCTGGCAG